TTAAGATGTGTGGACTTCAACTCCCAGAATGCTGGCTGGGGGATTCTGGGAGGTGAAGTCCACACATCTTAAAGTTGCCAAGGTTGAAAAACACTAGTGTAGAATCTCCATTTGTATCAGAGAATGTGATCTCTTGGCCTCCCACTGGAGATAGGGTTAGTCATTCTGTGCTGGTACTTATTGAGTATCAGATTCACTGAAAGGATGTGTTACTTCTTTACTCAGTTTGCACTGCCACGACAGGGGATTCTTTAATTGAGAAGAAGTGTTGTGTTTTGCTGTTTCATAGAGTCGAAGATCTCACAATCTGGACTTGAAGGGGACTGTAGTAATACTTGATGAAGCTCACAATGTGGTATGTAAAAATACAGTTGACTTGTTCCTGGTTTGTGCTCTTTGGAAAACATTTTAGGTCCCCTTTTGCAGAAAAGTCATTAATCAGTGTATATATAATTTTTCAAGAGACCTTAAGCAAGCAAGAAGCAGTCATTAGACAAACTCTTTAGCATTAAAAAGATGGAAAGGATGAATCACCAAAAATATGCAGTAGAGAATTGGTGTGATAATGGTAAATTCTGTGTAAAACCAGTTCCTTGGTCAGAAGGAGCATATTTTTCCAAGTTTAATTTGGGGATGAAGAAAACTATTTTAAAATCTTGCCACCTCCCCCCTCAGATTTCTTATATTGAGGTTATTTCCTCTACTACTGGAACTTAGGTGTGGAATGGAGGATATTATTATATTTTTGTCTCATTTCCTTAGGGGACCAGTTGTTAAAATTTTATTTAATAGTAAATGAGCAAATACAGTAGGATTTAAGTTGTTTCTGCTTAGAGGACTCCTGTGAGTAGTTCTTTACAGAATCATGTTTTTATTTTATTACAAGGCTTACCCGTGGTTTGTTATTTATTGAGTTTCTAGGCTGCCAACTCCATACAGACCCATAGCAGTTTATAACAAAATTAAAACCTCCATGGTGTAGCCAAATATATAAATAATAGAACAGACACAATAAGTCTAAAACAACATCAACACCGTAAAATTGAAACATCTATGGTAAGAACAAGCAAATATCAACCCCCAATGGGATCAAAACATGATTAAATTACAGTCAACAACACTATACCCGTCACACACAATAGCATAAGAGAAAACCACGAATTAGATATCAGCCAATATCAGTAAGACAACATCCAACACCAACATGGCAGAACATTTCAGTGACAATATCATCCCAGTCATGGGCGAGCAAGTTCTTATTATAGAAGAGGTCCCTGGTGACCTGGCCGTAAGGACCCAGGATTGGAGCTAAAGGACCAGTAATGAGAGCTGGCCCAAAACTGATGATCCTTCATTTTTGAAATGACCTGCTGTATCTCCTTTGATCCATCATTTTGGGGGGTGGCGCTCCTGCCTCATTCTCACAGAACCCACCCCACAACTTGGGTGCCAGTTTCAGTTACAACCTCCTTGCATTCACTTTCCACAATTACACTTTACTTGAGAGACCAGCAGTCTGGCAAGCTGCTCATGCTGGTCTCTCTCAATACCAGTTACCAAACACCTTCCACACCCTTCCACTGAACCATCTACAGTCCCATATGATGATAGATCAGAACCTGGATGCTCTCCCACTAGTCCCAGGGATCTACTACCTACTTCACTCCTGCCTGTACTCTCACTCCAAGCTGGGGCCCAGGGGCTTCTCAGCTTCCCTGCCTTTTTCTCTCTGAGAGATGTCTCACCCCATATGTAAGAAGTCTCCTGAATCTACCTATGAGGGTGTGAAGATGTTTCAGAAAGATGCTAGTATCACTGGAGATCCCAGGAACCAATCCATGCCAGAGGAAGACCTTGTATACCAGGACTTAACTGGCTGCACTTTCCCAGAAAAGTATTTACTATAATACTTTTGCGAATGCAAGCAGTGAGAGAGGTAGGGACAGCCAGCTTAAATAGGAAAAGGAATAACATCTTCTGGGAAACATGTCCCCCTTTTGCATCGCTTGCTGAAGTTAATTACATTTCCAAATCAAATTTTAAGACAAGCTGATAATACTCCCTGCTGGAATATTCTGATCTCCAGAATGGTTCCCTTTCCATCGGTTGAGTCTTGCTTGGCTATGTGCTATTAAATGAAAAATATAAAGTGTAAATGTTTAATTTGAAAGGATAGTGCATCTTTATGTCAAAACCATAGTTTCTATCTGAGAAATACCCTGTTTTTTTACCCAGTGATAAATTGTAAGAATACGTTTTGAATCAAGTGTGCAGAAGGTGCTTCCAGATTTAGGATCATTTATCAGTTCAGATGTATTCTTACTGAAGAGTGGGAAGCCATGTTTTGTTTGTAATGGGTACCTTTCATTTCATGCAGTTATGTGTAGTCTGTTTGAGAGGCAAGTAATTGTATTTAAATACCATGTTTTTCCCCACTCTCACCCTTACTATCATAAACAGGCACAGCTGCCTTATGAACATATAGGAGGACTGATAGCTTCACTGCTAAATCAAAGTGGGGAAGGATCTTATATTAATATTTAACTCTTGTTTCAGAAAGTATGCTGTCTTCCTCTGCTACAACAAAGGAGATGCTACTCTTAAGTCTTTTGATCTGAAGCAGGATGGAGAATATTAAGGATTCTCTGAAGTTATTCTGGGGCTTTCCTTAAGTAATATAGCAAGAATATAAAATTCCCTGGTGGAAAAAAATATTTTTTATGACAGCTTGTGCATTGCTCTGAAGCATCTGGTATTGACTGATGACAGCAGTCAGAACAGAGGATAGAAAGATTTCGATCCTGCTTGAAGTAGCCAATTTAACATATTAAAAAGGATAATTTTCTTTTTATTTACTCTGTTAATACCACTGTCTTTGCAGCACAGGAACTGCACAAAAATGCAAAGTAACTGTTTGTACAACTTATCTGGTGAAATGCAAATGTTTCATTTTTTTTCTCCCTTTCTAGGAGCGGTTGTGTGAAGAATTGACATCATTTGATTTGACTCCTTATGACTTAGCTTCAGCTGTTGATGCCATCAACATAGTGTTAGAAGACCAAGCCAGAAAAGTTGAACAGAATGAAATTAACTCTGAATTCAACATGGAACATGTCAGTTCAGGTAGATTATCTTAGTGCACAGAAACATACAAACAGACTGACTGGGCCACGTAAAAATTGAGGGCTTTGTTTTATAGCAGGCATACTTGTATTGAAAGGTTAACTGAATGGAGGTCAGACAACCCTCCTTGGAGGGGACACTTCCTTGGGTGGGGGGAGAGGTCTGCCTGCCACAGTGAGAAGGCTTTTTCTCTCACAGCCATCCATCCATCTAACTTCATTCAGAGGAGGGGGCCCCAAAGACAACTTAAGCATCCAAACAGCTACAGATAGTAGGAGAAAACATTTATTTAAATACTTTGATCCCAAACTCTTCAAGGCTTTAAAAATCTGCAAAATTTTGAAATGGGCCAGAAAAAAAAACTAGAAGCAGTGACATTATGTAAACATACAGGCCAATCCCGCTTAGCAATCAAGTGGTTCTATTTTGGGCTAACTGAAGTTTCATCAGTTTTCAAAGATAGCGAGTTAAACAAGGCATTGCAATATTTATTTGCTCTGTCCTTGATTTACTCTTCAGTTTAAATAAATGATCCCAAAATGACTTAGAAATCATCTACCCACTGTCTCTTACTTTATGCACAGACACCGCTGTTCTTTGGAAGGGATTTGGCAGTGGGGGTGATAAAACTGTGTGAGTAATTCTGGGCCAATTTGGGGCACTGGTGTTTGAAGGGATTTATAGTTTTTTTCAAAAGGTCTAGGGTTTTTTGTTTTTTTCCTATCTCAGGGAGTAATTGAACTCTGCATGATTTTATAAACATAAGAGACAGTGGTCAGTATTCTGAGATTGGCATAACCTACCTTCGTATGATTGTGCAGAATGGCTGTTTTGAATCTGAAGTGGCCTGCAAGATTCCCATCAACATTCTTGGCAGTACCTCCTTGTCTTAATTCTTTCACCTACCATAGAAGTCTGAAATAAATCTCAATATTTATTTAATAATAGGTATAGATATATTACAAGAATATTTATCTTTATATGAATATATGGAATGGTAGGAAAAGATGGCATCTGCTCTAAGACTAAACTGAAGGAAAACTCCTTTTCTAAAACAGGACTAAACATGGACCTTGAAGATATAGCAAAAATAAAGCGTAAGTACCTTTTTCTTTGTAAACACTCAGTTCAGCCAAAATAACCCTATACAGGTAGTCCTCGCTTAACATCCACTCATTCTGCAACCGTTCAAAGTTACAACAGCGCTGAACAAGGGGGATCCTCATAGTTGCAGCCATTGCAGTGTCCCCACGGTAACATGATCGCGATTCAGGCGCTTGGCAACTGGCTCACAATTGTGACATCGCAGCGTCCTGCAGTCATGTGATCACCATTTGTGACCTTCAAGGCAAGCTTCCAACAAGCAAAGGCAATGGGGAAGCTGGCAGAAGGTCGCAAATAGTAATCACATGACTGCAGGATGCTGTGACCACATGAGATTCACCTAACAACGACAATTGGAACTGCCGGAATTGCTCTTATAAATTGGCGCAGTCATGTGACATCGTGCCTTATGACTGCATCACTTAGTGACGGAGTTCCTGGTCCCAATTATCAGTAAACGAGGACTACCTGTAAACTTTTTTGTCCAAACTTTACCCACTTATCACTTTGCATTATCGATCTGATCATTTTAGGATCTGGTGGTGCAAAAGTGTATTCTCTTTTCAAAACCATGCCTTCCGTGATGGCCGCCTGCATATATGTAACAAGTAGACTCCTCACTCTGTTCCATGCACTGGATTAAGCAAAAGGGACCCCTTGCTTGATAGGAAAACAGAGAAGGTTGTGCATCCGCATGGCCTGAGAAACAAGACAGAGGACTCTCCCCAAAGTGAGCATCCCTTTATAACCACATTAAATTTTTACTTCCTTTCTCTTTGTATGCCTTTAAAGGGATTCTTCTTCAGCTAGAAAGTGCTATTGATGCTGTAGAACTCCCACCAAGTGGAAGTGGACTCACGAAAGATGGAAGGTATGTTTCAGATTTTTTTTAAAAAAATCTCTTCCAACTTGGCATTTATATATTCCTTATTTTTGCATGCTTATCTTTTGGCCAGCCTATCCAGCTGGTGCTGTCCACAGGTGACAGGACTATTTTTCCTGGCATTCACAGCTATTATGGCTGAAGTCTGGCTGGAATTCCCACCATGCCAACCAGATGCCTTTGGGGCGCTTGCAAGCATGAGTCAATGCCCCTGTCCCAATACCTCACCTTTGTAAGTAAGTGATATTTAAAGGCACATGGCTCCAGCCCAATGGAGATTGCAAGACTGATAGCCCTTGACAGGTCTTCTTCCATATATCTATCTGATCCCTTCCTAAAGCCATCCAAGCTACCTGCTATCACCACATCTTGCAGCAATGAATTCCACAGGTTAATGATGCGCTGTATGAAATCTGCTAATCAGTTTCATTGGATGGCTTTGATCATAGTACTTTGAGAGAAGGAAGAAAACTACTTTGTCCACTCCATACATGATTTTATATGCCTCAGTCATGCTGCTACTTAATCACCGTTTTTCCAGGCTGAAGAGTCCCAAATATTTTAGCCTAGTCTCATGGGGAAGGTTGGTCCATCTGTCCTTCCCTCCCTCCCTTCCTTCCAGTGGGGCACTGAGCATAGTGCTTCAGGACTCCAGATGCATGCATGCCGTAGATTTGTATAAGGGCATTGCAGCGCTACATTTTATTTTCAATTCCTTTCCTAATGATCTCCAGCATGGAATTTGGCCTTTTGTTTTTTTCACAACTGCTACATGCTGAGTCGACACTTTGAGCTATCTACTATGACCCCATGATATATTTATGTAATTATTTAATAAATTTGTATGGCCACCCATGTCAAATATGTGATTCTGAGCAGCTAACAACTAAAAACAGAATAAAAACCAGTAACCAAAATTACAAATAACATAATATAGCAGCTAAAAAATTACTCGAAGGCACCAAAAAAAACAGCTGAGAATAATATCCTCCAATCAGTTCAACCAAGAAAAGTGCTCGTCTGTAGTATCAGGGCCCCAGGCCTGGTTAATTATAAGCAGCTCAGACCCCTTCAGTGTATATATGAATTTAGGGGATTTTGCCTAAAAAGGTACATCACTTTAACTTAATTAAATTGAACTGCATTTGCCATTTGGTTGACCATTCACACATTTTGCTCTTTGCAATCCCTTTTGCTTTTTCCCTCTCTGCAGTTTTCTATGTAGAAGACTAGAAAGTGTTAGCAAACCATCTTGGTATCCACCGTATCAATCCACTGCTTCATAACTCTCCCTTTTGCTCTGTAAATTTCTGTTTTTTCAGGATCTCATTAACTCCATCAACAGAACAACATACATATCCAGACACAGACTCATATTATTACAGACATGACACACACAGTTCATAAATGTCCATTAAAATTAGGTAATTACTTACCTTTAATGCTGAGGCCTAAGCGAAACAGGCGAATTTAGTGTAAAGAACACCAACAGTACTGCAACTTACAAAGAGCTAAGAGCAATCTAAGGCAGCAGTGCACCACTTCTGAGCTCACGTATGTGGTGCTGAAGACCAGATGTAGTTCTGAACAGCTCCAGCCACGCATTCCGCTTTTGGGAACTACTGCTAATCAGCAGATCTGCCATCTCCTCTCTCGAGTCCCACTGAGCTTTGCATACTTCATTGAGGGCTGCACTCTGGTAGTGGAAAGGGCCAGGATCCTTTTTGGGAGGGTAGTTCAGGAATTTAAAAAGTAAAATGAGTTCTTTGGCATATGTGAGGCTTTAAGGTGGCACTATTTTGACTCTTAAAAGAATGTTTCCCCCTCCCTTGTAAAAAAAAAAAAAAGCATCAAATGTCCCTTCTGCCCCTTGTCCTCCCACTTTGAGAGCCATGAAAGGATGCTGGCAGGCTATATTTCATATATATCTAATTAAGAACACTTAATAACTAAAATCTTTGTAGTGAAGCCAGAGCCTCCTTTCCTTGGCATAGGGGAGACAACTGAGATAATGGAAAAAGGATCAGGGTAAGCAGAACTTCCAGTGAGATGGTCTCAGCTGTGAAGCTCATGGGGTGATCTTCTGCCAAAGGTATCGTAGCCTAATCTCTTAACTGAGGGTTGTTAGCTGGGG